TCCGTGCGTGGAGCTTCGAGAACAAGTTTAATAATTTTTTTTCCTGCTGTTTTAGAGTTAGATGGCTCCTCCTTGGTCTTTTCTCCCAGCTCCCCCATATACCTGGCCTCTGGATCGGCTTACCCTGGGGCTGTCCTCTAAGCTTATAGCTTGTTTTCCATCCTTTCTCAGGTGGGAAATCTCGAGGGATAACGCAGGATTGGGCACTGGAGGAGGTGTGGAGTGTGGTGGATAGAAGATGCCCTCCCACAGACTCTAGGCTGGGGACACTTTGAGGGGACATGGTGATGTGGACTCACTGTGCCTAAATCCCCTCCTGTGGGGACACGCGACTAAATCGATTGGGGTCACTCCAAGTGAATTTGGGCTGGCTACATAAAGACATAGACTCAGAAAATACCTTTTCTTGGGGTTCAGTGACCACTTCTTAACCACTGCTCCCATAAGGGGGGCAAGGCAGGCAGGAAAGAGGGGGAATACTCCTCAGACCCGGGTTTTACTAATGGGGAAGCTAATCCATGGAACATTCTATCCAAAAAAGGGCAAAAGGACAGGATTACAGCAAACAGGTCGGTGTAATTCTACCCCATCGGGTGACATCCACTCCCTGAGCGGCACCTTTCTTATCCAAGCGGAGGTCAAGTCCACCTGTTGTGCAGTGGGTGCAATACCATCTAGTCCCTCTTGACTCAGGACTTAAAGGTGTGTACATAGCTCCTGTCCAGGGTGGCCTCGACACTCTCCTGGCTTTATTCCTGGGCCAGGGCACAGCCTCCAGCCGACAGGGCATTGCTCCCTGAGCATTTCCTCTCCCTGTTTTATATCTTCCATCCTCTCTTCATTTTCCACGAAGTGATCTTGTTAAGCTCCCAGGAAGCACCTGCTTACCTCTGGTCACTTCCGTGAGGCCATCGCCACATTCGAGCTGGGCTTTCCAATATGGGCTCTAGTTTTTACAAGTTCTCATTGCTTTTTTTTTTTTTTAATCATATTTTTCAGTTTTACTTTGAACACTTCTTTTTCTCCCCTCTGAAACTTCTGTTTACGCTGGGCACGGCAACACACACACTTGTCCTCCCCGAGGCTGGGAGGCCGAGGCAGGAGGATCGTGAGTTCAAGGTCAGCCTCAGCAATTTAGCAAGACCCTAAGCAACTCAGTGAGACCCTGTTTCTAATAAAATGCCAAAAAGGGCTGGGGATGGGGCTCAGTGGTTAAGTGCCCCTGAATTCAATCCTCGGTACCAAAATAGAAAGAAACTGTCCAAGATCATGGACTATGTGGTAGCCGTCTCATTTGCCTTCTGATCTTAGATCTTTGCCAATGCTTGCGGAAACTGGGAAGAAGCATTTGTTTCACAGGGGCCTGGTGGAATTTCAGGGTACCTAGGTGAAGAAGGAAATTCAGATAATTTTCCATAAGATCTGTGTTCTGCCGGCGTTTTTCCCTGGCCAAGTATGGAACGCTAGGAGCAAAGTCTTGAAGTCCTTTTGGTGTGACTCTTTGGCTCCCTGGAGTTCAGTAGAGCATATCCCCAGGCTTTTCTGGGGCATAGAGCAGCTGGGGGCACGGAGCAGCTGGGGGCCCCCGGCTGCTGGAGGACTCTGTATTGAAACCACCCGGCTCCTTCTACTGCCTTCCTGAACTTCTGGGAAAATTGCAGAATCCATGTCCTGGAGGGCAATCCAGGGCAGATGGCAGCGGGGAGAGTGCTGTTTTAGATTAACAGGAGGATTTATCATGCCAAGAGGTCAATATTTACCTTGGCCTCAGCTCCCATGGGTCTTTACTTCTCTGCTCAGTGGCTCTCTCTGCTGACTTCAGCAGAAGCAAAGATCTGTGTTCTGTCAGCTGCAGAGGGTGCTGGTGAGATTCTCTTATCACAAAGACCTGGAAGCAGAGGAACCCGCTTCTCTGCTGCAGCCTACTCTCTTCCATGGAAACCCCAATCCCACTGCGCAACTGGCCATCTGTGGGGCGCACGCTTCCCCACTTCCACAACAGGGAGCGCACCGCTGCTGGTAACTCTCTTCTCCCATCTGTGAAATGGGGATGTTGAGAACCGCTGCCCTGTCCGTGTCAGAGCGCTGCTATGAGGAGCTGAGGGCAGAGAAAGCACTTTGTCTGCAGCAAAACCAGCTCCCATCCTGGCCAGGTCTGGGGGTTATGCGATTGCTGCAGGTCGCCCAGGTAACAAGAAAGACCCTTGCTTCTAGCTGGGACCTGACTCCCATTCTTTGATGCTAGATTTCCTGGGATTTTTAGAGACAGTGGCTTCTGCCTCTGCAGAAGGGGGAGCGTGCATTGCAGGAGTACCAAGGACAGTTTGGAAATACACGGACCCAAGTACATGCGCACAGTCGGAATCCGGGCGCCTCAGAGCTCTGCGGATCGGAGGCGGCAGCTATAGGTACAGCTGCAACCGACCTTCTCAGGCAGAAAATGGATTCGTCCTTCCCAGGGCTTCCCCACGGAGCCTTTTATTTCAGGGCTGTTCAAACTTTTCCACTTTTTGCCGCCCACCACATGCATATTTTATCTCTAAAAAGAATGCAAATCTATGTTCTACTCAATGCTATTTCTATATTTGTTTTAAAATAGTTTCAATTTAAATTGTTGACCCTGGGATAAGATATGCCAAGTTTTGTCCTCTGAGAAAGTTCCAAATAGTCCTGGGTATGAATGTATTGGCTGGCCCCACTGTGGGGGTTTTGAGATGTGTGGTATCCCCCAATTTCATATCTCACCAAAGCCCTGGAAATCATAATAATCATAAATATTTATTGAGTATTACAATGTGCCAAGCATTTTATGTGAATAATTCATCTGATGTTTTTAGCACATCCATAAATCAAGGACTGTTATTCTTCTGATTTTATAGATGAGGATATTCAGAGAGGTTGGGCAATTTGTCCAAAGTCACACAGCTGATGCTGGTGGGGTTGGACTCTACCAGTTGGTGCTCTCTGGGGAAGGAGCAAATGGGATGCCACTGAATCCTTCTCCATTCTTGTTGGCTCCCCTAACCCTGCTGGGTGGTGTTGTAGCTATCAAGTTTGCCTACAGGAGTGACCCATCCACAGTTGCGTGTGTCCACAGCTGCCTTAAAGATCAGAGTGAAGGAAAGAGAAATTATGGAAGACTGGCTGGAAAGTCCTGAGACAACCCAGCTTACCTTTTTTGCTTTACAAATAAAGAAGCTGGGAAGGACCAGAGAGGGTCAGTGAGCATTCCAGATTACACAGCCAGTCAGCAGGGGATCCACGAGCAGATCTGGGGCTCTATGTCTGGGGGGTGTGGGTAACTTCACATTTCTTTTATTGATTTCATGCATCTTTCTCTATTTATCCTGAATCGTCTAAATGGAACCTCCCCTCATTTGCACAACATCTGTTCAGATTGTCAGCTTTTTTTTTTTTTTTTTTTTTTAAGGAAAAAGGCCCATTTTAATGTCTTCCTAAAGAACAATCACCTTGAGGGTGATGGCTGGGCTATTTCTGTGATGCTCCCAGCACGGTGCCAGATACACAGAAGTTGCCCGGTAATCGTCTGTGGGCCCGAATGAACTTAGGGGTCCCAGATAGAAAGAAGAGGACAGAAGTTTCTAGAATGCAATCATTCTTCCCCCAAAGACTTTCATCCTAACACAATCCAATGCTCTACGGAGTAGAGTTTAGCCCAAACTTCTACTCCATTCCTCCGTCTTGGGTATAGCCCATGGCACTGGGAAAAAATGAATTTAAGATAAAAACAAATTCTCGTTTCCTTGCTGTAATGCATATAGCATACATTCAAGGCAGCTTCCAGCAACGCAGAATCTCTCTGGTCTTTCTGACTTCATTATGCAAGTCCAAGAGGGAAGGTGGAAGGCAGAGTGTTTACAAAGCCTGGGGGGAATGACCTCATTGGTTAGGTGTTGGCCAGCTGCCCAAGGAGCACGGTCCAGATTCCTTTTGGGGGAGGCACTGAAAACCCCCTGATAACCCAAATTCTCCAAATCTTTTAGACCTCGAGGGAGGGATGGAGGATAAGTGGAAGAAAGTGGTCCTTGGTCCAAGTTATAGCTCCAGTTAGCAGGGAGTCCACGCTCACAGGACCAGCCCTGCCTCCAAGACAGAGTACCAAGGACTTGGGAAGGGTTGGGATTTAAGGGAATTGAGTGAACAGGCTGGTGGAGGAGATATGATATCTCTGGATATGCGCACCGGAGGGTATACATGGTATATGTACCTATGGGGACATATCAGGGCATGTGACAAGATGGCAACTCCTGAGAGCTGGCCTGTCCCATCACTCTCTCAACAGCATCTTCCTATCTTCTAGCAATAACCCAGCAATCCTTTTATAAAATGTGCCTCGATCCAGCAGGCACCTCCCTGTTGGATGAATTCTCTCCAGTCTTATAGGTGTTCTGCAGACTGGAAGCTTCCCACTCTTAGCAGGGAAGGGGGAGGGGCTTGAGATGATTTGGAGCCAGCCCTTGGGATGCTTTGGGGGCAGTTAATCTGGAGAGAAGAACACAGTTAATCTGGAGAGGGGAACACAGGCTGGATCTCCAGTATAATCTGTCCCCACTGTGGGGGCCTTAGGGAGTATCAAGCACTGTGGGAATCCCATAGCCCAGGAAAGACCAATTTGGGCCAGGCTGGCTTTGGGCACAATGGGAATTCTGGAACTTAGTTTTTCTATCTGTAAAAGGTGGGATTGTAGAACATCTTCTCAGGAACCACCGGTTTTCACCTTGACGAGTAAGCTGTGAGGTAGGGCTTGGTGGTGAAAGGGCTAGAAGTTTCCAGGGAAGTCCCTGATGGCAGCTCTGCTCACAGACTGGCCTTGGCGTAGCCAGAACTTTAGGTAAGGAGCTGGAAGATATGCATTTTTCTAGTTGAACATTTTTGAGCCTCAGTTTCCACCTCTGAAAAGTGGGCGTGGTACCATTTCCTACCGAGAACAGTGTCGTGGGGCTTAACTATACTATGGGGTGACATCGCTAAGGCACAGCATGGGTGCTCCAAGAGCATTTGCAAAACCGGAGAGCGGGAAGGTTCTGAAACGTGTATCCGCCCCCCCCTCCCCAGCCCCTGCGAGCGAGGTCTGGCATTTGGAGTACTCGGCTCGCGGGACCTCCAGCAGAGTTTTGCATCCCAGCTCTGAGGCCACTGTCGCCTCCTCGGCCCCGGGCTGCCGAGGGTTAAAGAGAAAGCCCCACGCCCCCTTTGACGGCGCAGAGCCCACCTCGTCGAATTCGAAAAGCCGGCCCTGGAGAGTCGTGGGCGCCCCCCGCCCAGACACGTCCAGCTCGGACCCAGGCTCGCTTGTGGCCGGTTCCCTCCGCTTCCCGCCCGGGCCGCGGGTTCGGTCCGGCCGCCAGTGCGCCCCTGGTAGTCCCCGCGCCGGGGACTGCGGGTCCCCGCGGGCGATCGCTCAAGATGAAGCTGGCTCTGCTCCTGCCGTGGGCGTGCTGCTGCCTGTGCGGCTCGGCGCTGGCCACCGGCTTCCTCTACCC